CCGCTGTATCATTGCTCCTCAAGTCCCCGAACCTTTTTCTACCCCCCCCATGTCTACGGGGGTTTCACGCGACGGCGATCTTTTGCATCAGGCAACTCCGGAATTCCCGCCTGCGAACACCGGGGAATACACTTACCTCGAGGTTCCGGGTGAGCAACGGCAGGCGCTCATTTTTGTAGGAGGCTTCCGAGTTGGGTAGATGGGCCCCGCAGGCAAGATTACCCTGAGGTTACGCAAAGCGCGTCCGCCCGAGGTATTGAAAAGGTCGGGGAAGGGGTCAGATTCCAAAAACGCCGCGTTACGAGAGGTAAAAACCTGCCCCGGGTCGGATCGAGGTGGGGGTTAGGGGCCATGCTCGGGTGAAGAACCGCCACGCGGGGTTCCTGCGCGGGTTGTTTGTTGTCCGGGTATGTGTATGTGTGTGTGTATGTGTAGTACAAGGCCCCCTTGACCCCGCAACGCTATCTCTTCCTCCCCCACAAGGGCCCTTTCCCCGGCCCCAATACTATTGAACTGCACTCACATTGTTTGGTTTCCTCCGCCTCCGCGTCCTCCAGGCAGCGGTACGGATCCGACAACCCCACCCCGTAGTAGTTCTCGTCTACGTCCCTACGGGGCACCTGGGGCGGGGGAAAGGCGCGAAGGGGGGAAGGGGGTAAAGACGATCCACGAACGGGTGGGAAAAGCTGCGAAGGGGATAAGGGGATACGGTAGGGGGGTAAAGACAAACCACGAAGGGGGGGAAGGGGGTAGGAGCAGGGGGGAAAGACAAACCACGAACGAGTGAAGCTGCTGCCAAGGAAAGAGTGTACAAAAAGCAGAACTGATCAGTAGGGGTAGGGGGGAAGGGGGAGGGGGGAAAGGGGTAGAGGGGGAAGGGGGAGGGGATACAGACATACATACACACCCATACGTACATACACACGTACACGCATACACACACTTCATTCATACACACGCACACAAGCAGACACGCAGACACGTACACGCACCTGGGGATAGCGGCTGGGATCCACCGACAGGCCAGTTTGAGGAGCGCCTGCGGGAGAGCCGGAGCGCGCGCGCGTGTGTGTATGTATGTATACATATATCCATGTATACATATATGTATATAACATCTACAATTATGTATGTGTGTCGCATTCGATCAAATTGCGTTCTGAGCTCTCTTCTTTTTAATCCAACAGCTCTCAGCATAAGAAGGGCTGACACCCTTTTGGTTTACCGTTTGGATAACCCCCCCTTTAGAAGGTTTTCCTTCTTGTCCCCTTCGTAATGGAAATGATGAACAGCAAAGCAGTGGGAGGTGAGGTGGGGAAGGCGTGGCTAGAGGCCAGCAGGTTCTGTTAGGTGTTCAGTGGGGCGACCGTGTGATGGGGGGCGGCCACACCAGGCCCACATAAGGCCCACATGAGGCCCGCTCCAGGAGCACAGCAGGATGGGGCGGAGGGGGATTTGCGCCCTTCACGGAAGGTTTGCGAGCGCACGAATTTGTGCCTTACTAAACGGTCAAACTTACTACAAAAGGGTTCTTATAAAGAGTTCTTTATAGAGGGGATGATGCAAAAGTGTTGGCTAGCGTGGTGCAAACTGTGAGCTAAAATCGACGGGTACACCGCAGAGTGGTGGGCCGTAAGCTAGGTATTGGTTGTCAGTTGCCATCGACACTTCAACGAGATGCCCAAGCGGTAGATTCAAGTAATGCCGTCACCATGTTTTTTAAATCATGATAACTAGAATGTTAATCTGATCCTGGCAGGGCAGCCCGGCAAAATCACGTAAGCTTTTGATCTAAGGTCATTCCCCTCCTACCAGTGGCCGGAGTCGGCCGGACGGGAGGCCACGGTTTCTTACGAAACAAGCGATTAACGGTAAGGAAGCCGCGCCGTGCGGCAGGCATCAGCCTTGGGCCCGCTAGCCAGGCCACTGCACTCATTGCTGTCAAGCCCGCAACTCCGGCTGCTGTGATGACCGTCGAACGCCGAGGTCTCGTCATTTCGGATTGGAAATGGTCTAGCGAACCGAAGGAATGGCACGAGGACTTAGCGCCCCGTCGCTAAATAAGAAACGATGTATAGACCACCGCCGCAGACTTTGCCAGCCAAAACGTTCAAGCTCCCACACGTGAAACGTATGCCATCTATTTCGTTTAGCTGGTAAGCGGTCTGTCTGAATAATCTACGGCAACGCCGTACACGACTGGAAAACCGCGCGATCTACAACAGAAAAGCGAACAACTGCATAATATGTTTGAAGTCCTAGGGTTTCCTTTATTGCAAAGTTTAGAACCGCTCATCCTCTCTATAACGACAAGCGAATCATGTATGCCGTGTATCTAATGTGAATCTAGTGATATAATAAATTAACAGCAAGAAATCACAGTAGGCTATCTCCCGTAACTATTGCCTTGAAGCTGCACGGTTGGGAATGTCGTCGTTGCGGGCCCATTTTACTTGCCCTCGTCGGCTGTCTCGCAAATCTCAGTCTCATTCTACAGTACATGCATATCAAAAGCAATGTCCACAGATTCATCGCTCAATACGTATCGGTGCACAAGCGGCCAGCAGCGCGGCCGGCGATGCAGAGACTGTCGGCTCAGCTGCTAGCATTACAGGAACACCAGACCCTTGGTCGACGCCATCTTCTCCCCGAGACGCTGGCTCATCTTCGATCCTGGCCATTTCACCAGCACCTGCTCTCGACCCGCTATCGCAACCTCTTGCAGTATCGGATTTGCCTCCTAGTCCTTGGGATGCCGCAGCCGCTGTCTCCACTGTAAGTGCTAAATATCCAACAACCGGTCCCCAATCTGCACTCCGCAAAATATTGACCACGTAGTTTGATTTTATTAATAAGAATGTCGTTGCAAAGCTAACAGTACGGTAACCGTCGTACGACAGCTGTATTTCAAAGACACGTTCGGACCGCACACCGCAATGAAATATGTCCTTGCATGGACTTTATGTTTCCTTGCTTCATACTTGTCTCCCCCGCTGCCATGCTCCCCTCTCCAGGCTCCGCAAAGACCCCAAACCGCGCACTCCGGGGCTCCTGGGGGGGTCTGGGGCCCAGCCACGACACCCGCCAGCGGCACGGATGCAATCCCGTCGTCCTATTCGTACGATCAAAACGACCCGGCAGCGGCCGCTGCTGCCGCCGAAGGCGGTCAGCCGACGTCACGACGGAGAGGCACCACCGTTGTGCCACCGCCGCCGCCGCCACCGCCGCCGCCGCCATCGCCGCCGCCACCACGACCGCCGCCGGCGGCTACCGCCGCCACAGCCGCTACCGCGGCGACAAGTTCGAGTGGCAGTAGCTCCATCAAACCCCCATCCGCCACACCTTTTAGCAGTAGCAGTAGCAGCAGCAGGAAAGATGTCGCTGGCGGCAGTAGCGCCTCTACTGCAGGGCTGTCAGAAGATACGGCTGCGCTACTGGCCCGGCTGCGGGCTGAGCTTGCCCGTACATCCAACATTCCCATGCCGCAACGTTGGCCCAGCAGTAGCAGTAGCAATAGCAGTAGCAGTAGTGCCACCGGCAGTAGCAGTGAAAGCTCTGCTCGCTCGTCCAATCCAGGCGTGCCACCCACGGTGCCGCCAACTGTCCCGACGGCGCCATCGACGGGTGCTACTGCAGCCTCCGCTACGTCCGCCGCCGCCGCAGCGGCAAGAGGAGGCGCTCCGAAACCAGGGGCCTCCGACGCCATGTCAACGGATGCGCTCGCCGCCGCGCTGGCGGCATCAGGCGCCGCCGGCGCTGACACTGCCACCGCCGCCGCCGCCGCCAGCACCGCTGCCACCGGGCCTGTTGGTGGAATGCTTGGTGGCTTCTTTCGGAAGCGGCAGCAGGCTGACTCCTCTCCCGCCGCCGCCGCCGCCAGCAGCACCCCTTCACCAGCAGCCACGCCCTCCTCTTCGCCGTCAACGACACCGTCGGCCGCCAGCGCGCGTGTTTCCCCTCCAGCCATTGGAAACAAGTCCAGCAAGCTTGGCGGCACTGCCAACGCCACTGCTACTGCTACTGCCACTGGGGCTACAGCCGACCGTACATCGGCTGGCAGCAGCAGCAGTGCCAGCAGCAGTAACAGGGCCGGCAGTAGCAGCAGCGGGGGCAGGGGCGGTCGCAAGCAGCGGGCGGTAGTGGTGGGTGGCGGTATTGGCGGCTTGGTCAGTGCAGCAAGGTTGGCTAAGGAAGGCTTCTCAGTTACTCTTTTGGAGGTACGATACGACATGTACGACATGTATGGCACCCATCCCAACACCCTCCTCCTCACCCCACCCCACCCCAGGCCAATTCCCAGGTCGGGGGTCGCTGTCAGAGTCTACAAAGGGGCCGCTTCAGATTCGATACGGGCCCCTCCCTGGTGCTCTTCATTGAGACATACAGACAGACATTCGCAGCGCTGGGAACCAGTTTGGCGCAACAGGTGGGGGTTTCTGCGGCGGGTGGGGCGCGGGCGATTGTGTGATTGTATGTATGTATGTATGTATGTATGTATGTATGTATGTATGTATGTATGTATGTATGTATGTATGTATGTATGTATGTATGTATGTATGTATGTATGGGGAAGACCAGGCTGTCCTAAGCCCTACATCCCCCATACCCAGCCCCCGGCTGATGTGGTGTGGTGCTGGCTCCGCTATCCCCCCGGCGTTGTACGTGACTCCCCAACCCCCCCAAAACCCCAAACCCGAAGCCCCCAAACCCCCCAAACCCCCCCGACCATTCCCCCACCCCTCCGTTCCCCCTCCCCCCCAAGGTCCCGGTCGTCCGGGTAGCCCCGGCAGCATACCGTGTGTTTTTCCAGGTGGGGTTGCTCCAGGGGGGAGGGCACTAGCGGGGGGAGGGCACGAACGGGGGGAGGGCACGAACGGGGGGAGTTCTTACGTTGCATGCACAGTGAGGTATTAAATCACGAGGGGGATTGTCAGCCCTGTCAGCGCTGTCAGATGTGGGGGAAAAGGAAGGGGGAGGAGAACGAGAAGTGGAGGGGGGAGGGGAGGGGAGGGGAGGGGGGAGGGTGGCGCAAGAATCACATTTCCTAGAGGGTTCGTGGCGGTGGGGGGATGAGGGGGCGCGACAAGGGGAGCAGCTCCGCCTCCCCCCCTCCCCCCTTCGGAGGGTGGATGGCGGGGGAATAGTTTGAAAGAGAAGAGTAGAAGTAAAACAAGCTAACCTACCATAAATGGATGTACGACATTTTTCATTTCCTCCCTTTACCCCATTTCTCGCTGTTCGGATAATGTCTGTATGTCTGTATGTCTGTCCGCGTGTGGCTTCTAAAACCCTAAAACCCCTGCAACCCCCCTGAAATCCCTCCATACATGCAAAACATACATACGTACGTACGTACGTACATACACTCAGGGTGCGGGCTCCCTGGACATGTTGTACGACGTTCAGCGAATGGTCGAACAGTTGGAAGGGGTAGAGAAGGGCGCAGGTGAGGCCCGACGATCTGATGCAGGTAAACCCCCCCGGCCCCCCTCCCCCTCACCATACACACACACAGGAGGGGAGAGGGGTTCTTTCCAAGCTCATTGATTTGATTTTTATGTTGATTTCGTCCTTCATTGACTTCATATTCCCCCCAGCCCCCCCCCAAGCCCGAGCTCTTAACTCCCACATCATTTGCGGCTTTGTAAACGCCTTCCCCCCCCTCTCGACAGTGTGGGTGTGTAGGACTTAGAGGGAGCTGACCGCCCTTTGCTGCTGCTTCTATTTCTTCTCTTTGCGTCATCATCATCGTCATCATCATCGTCATCATCATCGTCATCATCATCGTCATCATCACATCACATCACCATCACATCACCATCACCATCACCGTTATCATCATCATCGCCACCACCACCATCATCATCGCCACCACCACCATCATCATCATCAACATCATCATTATCATCATCATTATCGTCGTATGACTCTCCCCCCCTCCCACCCCCACACACATTCTCCCCCGGAGCACAAACACACGTCCCCTCCCTCCCTACCTCTCTCACCCCTCTCCCTCGCTCTCCTCCCACCCACCCACTCATCCACCCCGAACCCCAACCCAAGGCGGGCAATATCTGGACTGGCTGGCCAGCGCCCGGGCGGCTCTGGAGCTGGGGATGGAGGGTTTCATCAGTCGTGACGCGAGGGGGCTGGGGGAGCTGGTGGCGGGGGTGATCAAGGTAAGGGGGGGGGAAGGGGTTTTTTATTTTTAAAGGGGCGGGGAGGGTTTTGGGGGAGGGGGAGAAGGGGCTGCTAAGGGGGGGAGGGTTCGCAGCACGTGTTTTTTATGTGTGCGGTTTGTACGCATACACACACAGGTTACTACTTTAAGAGGTGTACGGTTTCATGTGATGTTGTACATGTGTCGTACAGGACGAGGAGCTTCGTTCACTGCTGACTTCAGTTGGGTTGGCTGAGCTGTTGGGATCCCACCACTCCAGGTGCGTGTGCGTCTGTCTCTATGTCCGTGTCTGTGTGTGTTTTAGGGTTTTAGGGTTTGGGGGGGGGAGGGAGGGGAGATTGGGGGGAGGAATGGGGAGCAAGTCGGAAGGCAGGGGGGTTTAACCGCTACTGCTGCTACTGTCGCTACTGCTACTGCCACACCCCCTCTCCCCCATCTTCTTTTCCTCTATCTCCCTAAGCCCTCTTCCAACCCACAACCCACAGAAGCGTTTTTAGGGTTTTGCGAACAATTACCCCGGCAATAAGTGCACATATATGTAATACTATCAAAACACAATACATACATACATACATACATACATACATACATACATACGGGTGTCCCCAACCATCTATGTGGTGGCATGGCTGTGTTTCAGGATGTCACGGCGGTTCCGAGACCCCCGACTGAAGGCGCTGTTCACATTCCAGGTACGACGTGTACGGCGTGATGAGGAATGTGTATGTTTGTTTGTATGTCTAAGTGTAACCCTTTCTTCCGTACCCATATTCCTACAGGATCTGTACGTGGGCCTTACGCCGTACAACGCCCCCGGGGTATACAGCCTGCTGGCCGCCACGGAGCTTACCGACGGCGTGTGGTACCCGTTGGGGGGGTTTGGGCAGGTACGGCAGGCATGTGTGTGTATGTATGTGAAGGGGGGAAACTGAACAATACCCCCTTTCCCCCAAAATATTTTTTCTCCCCTTCGGAACCCTGAACTCCTTTGTAAAACACATCCGTGTCGCTGTTTCCCCCTCCCCCCCTCCCCCCCTCCTCAGATTCGCGACGCGCTGCTCCGAGTGGGTCAGGGTTTGGGTGTACGACTGCGCTGCGGCGCCCGGGTTACGGGTGTGCGTACGGCACCCGGGGAAGGGGGGGCCCAGGTGGTGACGGGGGTGACCTTGGCGAGTGGGGAGGAGCTGGAGGCGGATGTCGTGGTGTCGAACCGGTACGACGACGGTTGACGAATTCTGTTGGGTTCCGTTAGATTCAGCCTAGTGGGGAATAAATGCATGGAGGGAGGTTTGTTTTGTGTACTGATTTGCATGTATGTATGTACTGATGTGTTTTGGATGTCGTTGTATCCCCTCCAACCGAAAACCCAAACTCAAACCCAATTATTAATAGTACTAGAAAACATTTTCAATTTGAAACATTTTTCTATAAGTGTCGTCAAACAATTAGTACGGCATGCTAATGCTGTCCTATACCATGACATAAATACATACATACATACATACACCTCCCCGGTCGCAACCAATTCACACCGAAAACACTTGTACGGCACAGGGACGTACCGCTGACGTACGAGCTGCTCCGGGGCCCAGCAGAGTCCCACGGGTCGGCCAGGGCTCGACGACTGTTGGCTCAGGACTACAGCGCCGGGATTATTTCGTACAACTGGTCGGTTAACAAGAAGTTGGACCAACTGCTGCATCATAACGTCTTCCTTTCCGGTGCGTGTGTTTGTTGTACAAGTTGGGGTTGGGGGTGCGGTTGGTTTCGGAGGGGGAGGGTTGAATGTACGGAAATGAAGAGTTGGGGTGAATGAGTGAGTCTGTGAAATAAAAAGATTATGGTACATTGATGAGCATTGAGTTGCTTTTGTGTACAGCGTTTACTGCCGTACTGGTTTGCTGTGTTGGCTGTGTTTATTCCTCACCCACACAGTCACCGTTCCTCGTACGGCATCCCCGCGCCATGTCCTCCTCGCGCAATAATTGTTAAGTCACATACATACATACATACATATTTACATACTTTGATAATACGTACATACATACGTACATACATACGTACATACATACAAAAATTATATAGGGTTTGGCACCACTGGTAAGGCGCGACCATTGCCCCCGGGAGATCCCGGGATCGATACCCGTTAGGGTCAAAGTCCTTCCGATGGTGGAAGGCATTGCGCCCCTAGTTGATGGACGGTGGTGACCTGGGATAAAGTTAACCTGCGAGCCGACCAGGAATGGAGTTGGGCCGCTGTCGACCCGGCAGATTCCGTTGGATTCTGTCGACCGGGTGCGGAACCTGAGCGATCCACTCAGAAGTTGACTAGGGTGACTGGATGAGGGTGCCCCGAAATACCGGGGAAGGCAGGGTTTCGCAGGGTAGCTGCCACGGGCGAAGATACACCCCCCTGTTTCACACATACATACAAACGCACGCTTGCACGCAGGTGACTACGAGGGTTCGTGGGTTCGTGCCACCGGCCCCGACACGCTCTCCCGCAGCCCCAACTTCTATGTACATTGCCCCGGTCGTACAGACCCCACCGCGTGCCCCGCGGGGAGCGACTCGGTCATGGTCCTGCTGCCCGTGGCTAACATTCAAGAGGTACGGCATTGTACGACACAATACGACATTCCTAAAAAAAGGCAACAGCGAAAATGGAAGACTGCACTATAGGATTGTACGGGATGCTTTACTGCACGGGTGCTTTGTTATAGGATTTTACGGTTATAATAATAATCATTTTCATGTTTGTGCGTGCATGAGGCCATTTCCTTCATGTCGACTTTGTGTTGCAACATTATCAGACGTTTGTTGTCAGATGTGTCTCAATGTACGGCAAATCCTATGGTTTTTTGTACGAACAGATGGTTAAGGCCCAGGAGGCGGAGCGCCGTCGGGCAAGTCCTTTGGGACACCTCCCAGGTGTTGGACCTCTAGCGGCGGCGGCAGCCGCCGCTGCTGGCGGCGGCGGCGGCGGCGCGACGTCGTCGTCGTCGTCGTCGTCGTCCTCGGCAGTGGATTACTCGGCGTTGGTGGCGGCAGGTCGGGAGGCGGTGCTCCGAAGCCTGGCAGAAGCAGGCGTTACGGATGTACGGCAACACATTGTGGACGAGCTCGTTATCGACCCGATGGAGTGGCAGGACAGGTGCGTGAGAGGAGTGAAAGGGGGGCTGTGTGTGTATGTTTGTATGTATGTATGTTGGGAGGTGAAGCCTGGTGTCCGGGCTTAGGACGGCACTGTACGGCATGGCACTGTGATGCCGCTTTCTGGCCCGCGTTCGTTGGCGGTGTTAATACGCAACAGACACGTACACGGGATTCCCCTCCCCT